AACCATGAGAATTGAGAGACGATGTCGGCGTTAGTCTTGTCAATCAGTATCAATCCAGAGTGTGACTGCATAGTACGCCATCGTTTGTAATACGCGGAAATTTTCCAGTGGGCAGAGAGTGTACCCAAGAGAGAGTCTCTCGGAAAAGTATCAAACCCAGGGTCTGAGGGCGTCACAGGCATGGAAAACTACAGTAGTGCCGTGGGCAGCTGTTATGATGGCGAGTTCAGCGTCGTCTGAACATCTACCAAGCCCGGAAGACGACCTCACACTGCCTGATTGTGTTCCCCGAGCGGCTGAAAGTTCCTTCACATCGGCGGAACATCCCCGCTCTCCTGACAGCCACTCTCACGAAACTCTCGAGAGCAGTGGTTCGTCAGGTGATGCTATATGCTGGCCGGGTCAACTTGCCCGTGAGGCAAACTACTGCGGTTGTCAGGTTCCATCGACCATCGGATTTTGAGTCATTCCACAAGCAGACTTTCCAGAGCTCGCTTCTTGGTTCGCAGTATGCTGCCAAACGTTTTGGGCGGAGAGTGATTACCATCCAACCTCAATTGGACGAGTTCAAGAGATATGTGTCTTAGGAACTCGTCTAACTCGATGATCAGTCCGTTCGAATTCGACCGAGCTAATTCGACTTCTCAATACATCGGCTCGAGCGAAACGAATGGTTCGAGACTTGGCCACTCGACTGGGACGGAAACGATCGAGATGGTATTCGGACCGCATACTTCTGACAAGCCCGCAGCTTTACATGCTCGGAATAACCGGGCGTTGACTGAGCTCTTGGCGAGTGGTCCTGATGTAGCAGTGGAAGAAGAGTACTGTAGATGCCTGTTGTATAGCACGAGCTGATCTCGATAGGCTAAAGCTCTGCCCATTGATTTCCCATGACTACAGAACCGATGTCCACAACAGAGTGAGTTGCCATCATTCACATCAATCTGAGTTTCACTGTGAATAGCAGCTGAGTGCATGTGATAGAGGCAACGCCCTTGGCACAATCCAACCTACTTAGTGCACCTCTGTCAGACGATGATGTCGTTTCGCTGAGCATTGTGCGACTCTTCCGATGTATTTGTAGTGGTTGTTGATGTGATCTATCTTACTCGCTGCGTACATGTGAGTCTCTTTCATCCTGATAGATTACCTCGACGAAGTACCGCCTACTGACATTTGTCCCACTCAGCCTATGGGAGCAATTCCACCGCGTTGCAAACTTATGGTTCCTTCTTGTCGGTAAGAGTGTGAATCATTTCGTCTGACAACCGCGCACCTAGCCCGAGCTTGAACATTAAAATAGATTTGCCTGGGTGCTTGACGACCGTTACTATGTTTACTCTCCTCAGGTGTCTGCCAGATGCTCCCCTCCGACTTGAGCCCGACTTCTGAATGGGCCACCATTGCGCCTCTCGTATTTGTCCTCAGTTTGACGATGATCAAAGATGCGATAGAGGACTATCGCCGTTATAAGAATGACGCCAAGGTACCTCTTTGATCACATTTCCCAAACTAGAGTGATCCCTCGTGCGTTTGCCCAAATCACGTGAATACATCGCGCAGTATCTTTTCTGCGCCTGTCCATTCACCGCGAATCATCCACAGGTCAATAAACGCTTATGCCGAGTGGTCGTTAAGAGAGAAACAGCTTCAGAGAGCGGCCGGATACTACGGAATGGCCAGTCTATAGCCGGTCAGACCGCCTACCTGCTCAAGCTCACAGTTCGACTGGATTACTCGATGTGTATGATAGGCTTGGAGCTCATGCCTTGGGAGAACTTCACAGCGGGTTCGATCATATATCTAAGCAGAGGAGAGGAAGTCCCGGTATGTTCTACATTCCGGGAGATCCGGATTGCAGATAGAGTGATTTCATGTGTATAAGTTAGGCTGACATACTGCTCGTTGCCTCTAGCAATGCAGACGGAATGGTTCATGTGGAGACAAGCCAACTCGATGGGGAGTCTGCATTGAAAGTGAAGCAAGCTCTTCCTGAGGCACGGTAGGGAGCGAGTGTATGCCTCGCTCGGTACTCCTCTCAATCACTCTCTATCGTGGGCCGTCTTGCGCTCAATTCTACACCGATTCTGTCGCAGGGGAGCTATCCGAGAGAGAAAACAGAACACCGTTTGTTGCTGTGATATTCAGGCGAATGTTCCGCTCTCTCTCATTGGTTTCCGAGTGTGTCGGGTCAATGACATGTGATGCTCCAAATGCTTTCACCAATGAGTTCAACGGACTCTTTCGCCTCAGAGGAGGGCTGAGAGAACCTGCTGATGCTAAGAACCTAGTAAGCCTGAGTGTTTCGGTCGGCAATATGGGGCATCTCGACCAGTGTCATAAATGATTCTCGTAATTTGAGGTACTCCGCGGATCGTCAATCCGGAATACGGCGTGGTGTTGCGGCGTCGTCGTTTACGTGGGAAGGGACACTAAGTTAGCCATGAACATGACCGCGAACGCGCCAGTTAAGAGGTCCAAGGTGGAGCATCAGATAAACCAGTAGGTCCGCCCTTCGACCTAGCAGTTTCACAGCCAATCGTTCACTATTGCTCATTCTGAGAGGGGCAAACAGACCGCTCAGAGCAGCAGTTATCGTATTGAATAGCTGCGCTCAAGCAATATGGAAACTCGTGGCGCCCCTATTCTTCAAGATTGAGACTTACGAGTGTCACACTTGCAGTTGACATTTTTCGTTGGGAGTTTCAGACTAACAGCTGTTTGCCGTAAAGATGGACTGTTGTAGAAAATTATTACTTAAGTAATGATCGTCCCTAATCAAGACATATGGAACTTAACGTTTTCGGCGCTTCTACTCTGCCCACTTTGAGTAAACTCTCATCAAGTATAGCCTGCGTCGTACAGGAGTGCCGGAGAGAAACATCAACTCGTCTTCAACCTGGGAAGATGCGCGTTTTCAGTGGGGCGTTTTCGACACATCACACTGAACAGGTTGCACTAAGCTGATAACGGGGCGCACTTATTAGTGTCACGCCTTCTAAGTGATAGTAGACTAGTTTCAACCCCTCCCTGAAGCTCTGATGCTGACTTGAAACTATACCACGTTGCTGACGTGATCTGTTCTCCCTATATGACGATAGGTTAGCGAAGCACGAACGTGTGTATTCGTGATAGCCAGTTGGTAGGGTTTCCCACTAGCGCACAGCCTGTAGATACCTTGGCTTCGTCCTTGGGCTTCTGCTGACATTATCTTTTGGATTAACAGTAGCCTTTGGTCATGCAACCGAATCGAGAGAGAAATTCGAGCTATTCGTAGGAATGCACTCGCAGACTATTACTTGGGTGGGTCCGTATCATTCGCCACCTCTGCACAAATAATCTCCTCAGGGACACCAACTCCTTACATTCCTGATCCTATTCAACAACATGGTTCCAATTTCTCTCTACGTTACCTTAGATATCGTCAGATCAATACAGGTTAGCCCAGGCGAACTTTCTTCGTTTTTTCCTTCGCACCCGAGTACTCAGCGCCACTGCTATCGAGATTTTGCGGTGCCGACGATCCTCTGTTCCTCATTGAGGGTCTCGATGGAAGAGAGACTCTCGCTTTCAGGCATACCTTATCCAGCGAGATCCCTATATGAAGGAAGGCCAACACTCGATCATCGTAGGCGCATCAGGCCTTAACGATGATCTTGGTCGGGTGGACTATGTTCTGGTTGATAAGACCGGAACCTTGACAGAGAATCGAATGTTGTTCAGAGCGTGCAGCATCGGCGGTATACGATACGGGAGTACTGAGATGGCAAACTTCAGTGACAGCCTCGAGTCGAATATGCTGTATACTCTGCGGAGCAGTGAGATGCTCCCGAGCACAGAGAAGAACTGCCTACGTGATGAAGCGTTACTCGAATATCTGGGAGTCTCGGTAATTACGAGGCCCCAAGATGCCTTCGTCCATCTGTTCATGCTAACATGCACGATATGCAATACCGTTATCGCCGAGACGTCGACTAAATCACCGATCGGAGTCCGTTTCCAAGGCGCTAGCCCGGATGAGGAGGCCTTGGTTGAAATGGCTGCGAGCTCGGGCTACATCCTCACGGACCGAAGCTCGGATCTCGTGTCACTTAGAATATTACAGTCCAGTCCCGCAGGAAAGGAGCGACAATGGGAGGATACCACATTCAAAATTCTCGGTGTCAACGAGTTCACCAGCGAACGCAAGCGCATGAGTATTCTCGTCCAAATCATGAAGACCATTGAAACTGATGAAGGGGACGTCGCCTATATCCCTGATGGTCGCGGGTCTATGCTATTGGTGAAGGGTGCAGACGACGTGATGGCTGAACTGTGCCAGAGAGATGTTGGAGAGGCCTCAACTATCGATTTATGTGGGGTCCCTGTCCGGGATGTTCGAGAGGAAACGGTTTTTGATATCAATGAATTCGCATCGGCTGGCCTTCGAACACTCATGCTAGCGATGCGATACCTTGATGAAGTCGAGACCTCAGAGTATCTTGGAGCCCTGAATGAAGCTAGGCACTCCATAACGAATCGAGCTGATCGTTTCGCTCGAGTAGCCGAGAAGTTCGAGACGGGCCTTATCGTTCTCGGGGCCACTGCTGTAGAAGACAAGATACAATATGGCGTCGAATCAACGGTCTTCCGATTGCTGAATGCAGG